ACTGAGGACCCCCATAAGAGTAAGTCTTAACAAAATATAATGAAATCCATCCAAAAAGGTAATGTAAAGGACCCTGAATATTTTCTTTCCCAGGTGAAGATGATGCCATTTTACCAAGAGAATGATAGAGGTATGCAAGGACGGGGATGGCCAGGCCAAATAAGGTTCCACCTGCCATTTTGGTGGCTACATGAAAGGTCGTCGGACGAATTTCCCCGGAAGTGTGAGGGAAGACAAATCCGCTAAGCCAGCTCGCCAAAAAACCAGAAAGATACAGATCATCAGGAATTCTGTCTTTTCGTTGAAAACCACTAATCGAAGTTGGGGATTCATCAATGAATTTGAAAATCCAGTGGTTAAACTTCTTGGATTGAGAAGAGCTGGCATAAATGTTGAAAAGCCCACGGCATGCCTTGGATGCTTGGGATGAATATAGAATGTCATTGGAGAAAAGCCCATGGCATGCCTTGGATGTTTGGGATGAATATAGAATGTCATTGGAGGGGGTGAACTCCTCATAAAACTCACCACGAATGGGGAGCCCACTAATGCGATGAAGGTCCCATAAAGAGATCCCAAGTTCGCCGTAAATGGTGTGGAAAGTGTTGGTGTTGGGTGACCACCGCTCTAAGAATCCTTTGAGCAGGGCAACATTCCTAGCATAAGCAAATTGGGATACATAGAATGCAGAATAAATCCCACACTTCTTCAAAATAGGGGCAAATGTGGAAAGAACGTCATTCAACCAAAAAATCCATATAGGGGATTGCAAATGAGTAGAAATACTGCGGACGTTAAAAGAATTATCCCACTTCAATTTTTCATGTTTCATTCTCTTAAGAAGAGTATTAAATTCAGAGCAGTCAAGGTCTTCAGAAAATGGACGGAGGATTGAGACAGGGAATGAACCGATTGATTTGGAGTGCCCTTTCTCGAGAATCTCACAGCAGTTTCGAATTCCTGTATAGACCAAGTCTTCGGAAGCCGTATGTAAAGGGATGTAGGGGTCCAACTCGGTAGGTGACAATAAAGCAGTGATAGGTTTGTGCCGAATTATTTTCGGACCAGATTTATCCAATACATTCCTCTCGTCACGTCGAAGATATTCGAGTGTCTTTTTCATACTTACTAAAAAAAAGGGGGGGGGTTAGTTGAGGCAAAATGTCCTAATATAAAGAAAGTGACGAAAGCCCCTTGCCAAGAAATCAAACCATTGGAGTGAAAGACGCAATCACTGCCAAGGTTTTAAGCCATTGGGGTGACGGACACAATCACTGCCAAGGTTTCAGGCCATTGGGGTGACGGACACAATCACTGCCAAGGTTTCAAGCCATTGGGGTGACAGACACAATCACTGCCAAGGTTTCAGGCCATTGGGGTGACAGACACAATCACTGCCAAGGTTTCAAACTATTGGGGTGACGGACACAATCACTGCCAAGGATTCAAGCCATTGGGGTGACGGACACAATCACTGCCCAGGTTTCAGGCCATTGGGGTGACGGACACAATCACTGCCAAGGTTTCAAGCCGTTGGGGTGACGAACACAATCACTGCCAAGGTTTTAAGCCGTTGGGGTGACCGACACAATCACTGCCAAGGACTCAAGCCGTTGGGGGTGACGGACACAGTCACTGCCAAGGTTTCAAGCCGTTGGGGTGACTGATACAATCAATGCCAAGGACTCAAGCCGTTGGGGTAACGGACATAATCACTGCCAAGGTTTCAAGCCGTTGGGGTGAAGGATACAATCATTGCCAAGGACTCAAGCCGTTGGGGTAACAGACACAATCACTGCCAAGGTTTCAAGCCGTTGGGGTGACGGACACATTCACTGCCAAGGTTTCAAGAGGACACAATCACTGCCAAGGACTCAAGTTGTTGGGGTGACAGACACATTCACTGCCAAGGATTCAAGCCGTTGGGGTGACGGACACATTCACTGCCAAGGTTTCAAGCCGTTGGGGTGAAGGGCACAATCACTGCCAAGGATTCAACCCATTGGGGTGAAGGACACAATCACTGCCAAGAATTCAAGCCATTGGGGTGAAAGGACACATTCACTGCCAAGGATTCAAGCCACTCATTGCCATTAGGCTAGAAGGGGCAATGATACCTGCAAACAAACTCTAACGCCTTGCGTGTTGCCTGCAAAAGAGGAAAAAAGACGTGAGCTATTGCCAAAAAAAAAAAAAGAAAAAAAAATCATAATTCGTACAATTAAAATTCACTTGCACGAATCACGAGGGGCAGTCTTTGATTAGATTAGATACAAAATAAAAAAATAAATAAATAAAAAGGTTGTTTTGTACAATTGGGCCAATTACTAATAAAATAAAAGGCAGCAGCAACAGGCTTAAGTTTGTGTTCCAATCAGAATTTTTTTTTTTTTTAAATTTTTTCTAAAAGTGATCAAAGGGGAGATTGAATGGTGGAATTCATTAAAGTAGCTTGAATCTGATTGGAGCAGCAGACAAAAATTGTCTTTGTCAAACTAAGAAGGGATGCAAGTTTGATGGATAAATTAGTAGAAAGTGGAAATTCAATGTAAGGAAAGATTTGAAGTTGTCATAATGGCCAGTTGAAAGACCTTTATGAAAGAAGATCAAAACAGTCTTATGAAGCCAAGCACCAATTATACAAGGGACTGCTACTAATACAAAATAAAATAAAATAAAAGACAGCAGGCTTAAAAAAAAAATTATTATTATTTTGAAAAAAAAAAGTCTGTTCATATTTTTTTAGCAAAATCTGCTAAATAAACAAATATATGCTGTTACACAAAAGGGTATAGAAGATTTTTTCTTTTTTTAAAACAAGAAAGGTCTTTGTTTGGGCTCATAAAAAAAACTGGCAGCAGCAGAAAAAAAAAATTTAAAAAAAAATCTGCTTACTTGATTCTATTGTGAGTAAAAAATATATATATATATATATATAAATACAAACCAAACAGGTTGTTGCTTAAAATTCTGCTAAAGAGAGTTAAAAAACATCTTATGCCTTGTGTAAAGAAAATCTGGTTAAAACAGGTTGTTGCTTAAAACAGGTTGTTGCTCAAAACAGTCTTAAAAAAAAAAAATCTGGTTAAAGAGAAAACCAGACAGATTGCTGCTTTATGTTCTTTCTTAAAGAAAAGAGATCTTATGCCTTAAAAAACATCTAGAATTTATGAGCGTGACATCCATGAAGTTGGTATGGGTGTTAAAACTTTCTTCTAGCAGCAGCAAAAAAATGGCAGCAGTAAAAACCAGGGGTGAAAAGAAAGCAACAAATATTATGATGAAAGTATACCTGATTAAAAGGAATTTGAAGGAATTCTTTTGTGCCTTCTTTTGGGGAAAGAAGAAAGATAATGGCCAGACAACTTTTGAAGGATGAAGACTTAATATGCACTACAAAATTTGCAGAATAAAAAAGGGCTGCTGAAAAATTGCTGGAAATAAAAATTCTGCTGGAAGAACAAAGTTGTAGGAGGAAAAATATCTATCGTCCACATGCATGGATATGTATTATATAAGCAAAAATTTCTTGCTTAAGAAAGGAGGTAGTGGTCTCCTAAAATACTTCAAAGAAGCAAGAGTTTAGGTAGGATTTGAAATACTCCATAGAAGCAAGAGTTTGTGTAGGATTAGAAATCCTACCAATGTCAATCCATCATATTCCATTTAGACAAACTCCTAATATATATATATATATATAATCTCCTAAAAAAAAAAGTGGCAAGTTGGAGGCCCACAAAAGAAAAGACCCAATTAAAAATGGTGGCCTATAAAAGGAAAGGTCCATGATGGTCTAGGAAAATTCATAATGACCTAGGAAAAATCTGCTGTAAAAAAAAATGGTGGCAAGTTGGAGGCCCACAAAAGAAAATGTCCAATTAAATCTTGGACCTTATTCATGACCCTTAAAAAAAAAAACAAAAAAATAACAAGAAAATTAAAAAAAAATAAAAAATGAAAAAGATCAAGTCCACAAAAAGACCCATGCAACAAAAGTAACAGGGCCTATGAAAAAAAGAAAAAAAAAAGAAAAAAAAAAAAAGGCCAGGGACCAAAGCAAAGAAATAATCTCATCCAAGACCTAAAGATCATCTAGAAAAAAGTGCCAAATCGTCGTGACTCGCACAGAAAATTCACTTGTGCAAGCCACGAGGGGCATTTGTTGGCACATAAATTTTAACTAAATTTATGACACGTATAGAGCCTATAATAAGAAGGCTGTAGGTAATCACTTCCTAAAAAAGATCAATATGATCCGTTGAAGTACATAAGTAAAACGACGTTGTATCTCAACAATGTTATTCAAGATGCTCAAATGACACGTGGAGCCTACGAAAGATGACACCTGTAGAGCCTACAGCAAGGACACCACACAAGATGAAACCATCAATCCGGTTAATAAGATATACAATTAATCAGATAGCGCTATTATTCAAAATTCAAATGGCGCTATCATTCAATTTGAAATTCAAATTGAAGATGAAGCATTCCTATCACCTAATGGCCCTCCATAAATATGAGGGCCATCACACAAGACGGGGGATCAGAGAATCAGAAGTGAAAAGATCAGAGAGAGAGAGAGAAAAAGAAATTGAGAGCTAAACAAATCGTTACAAGAAAGAAGATAAGCCTAGAGAACTCAAGAGCCTACGCTAATGGCGATGAATAGGTAAAGGGTTCCAAACCCAAACTGTATTTTGTATTCGAGGGTTCAAAACCCATAACAATCTCAATAAAATATTTCTTTTTTTTTTTAAATTGTCTTTTGTTGTTTATTTTGTTTTTTTATCAATCGGATGTTTCATTTGTATAAAATGTGTAATTAACGATCTGAAATACAGATCGGAAATAAGAACCTGCTATTCAAATAATCAACACTGTTTAGTCAAAAAACTAAACAGTGGACATTTGTAACATAAAATTTTAAAATGTGTTAAAACACTTCATGTTTTAAAATTTGTGTTTACAAGGTTACCTTTTGACTTGGAGGAATTGATCCTTTTTTACTTGAATTGATCTGTATTGGCAGGACAGAAACATGAAGCTGTTGGTGGGGATGGTGGTGTCGAACAAGATGCAGAAGTCGGTGGTTGTGGCGGTCGACAGGCTTTTCCACCACAAGCTCTACAATCGATACGTCAAGCGCACCTCCAAATTCATGGCCCATGATGAGCACAACCTCTGCAACATCGGCGACCGGGTTAGTGCCCCATATATATATATATATATATGTAGGATTCATTTATACTTTCTAATTTATCTTGTTTCATTCTATATATATACATATGTACACAGAATAGATGTAGATGAATGCACACACATACGGTGCATTGCTTCTTAGTTTGAGGCACCAGCTGAAACTCGGTATGGTAGCTTATAATTGGAAGCAATATAGGACATCTTTCTATTGTCCTTTTGCATCTGCAGTGAAGTTTTCAGATTTCTGATGTTGCTTGGCTTGTAATTGGCTTATTTTGTCTCACAAAAATTTAAATTTATGGGTAATTTTCAGTTTTTCATGCTTGTTCTGTTTTGTCAGATGTGGTGTCCCCTTCTGGACACTCCAGTACAAGTTGCTGAGCATCGATCTCGCTGATAAATTCTAGATTTTATTTATTTATTTATTTTAAATGCCCAGAGGAATACAAAATACTAGATGTTGAGGTAACATGGCTAAGTTCTACAATGGACCAAAATAGTCTCTCCGGATAAGCATTTACCTGGTAATGCATGGGTTTGTGCAAATGACCCAACATGGAATTTAATACAGATTCAGTCCCATTCATACTAAAGAAAGACAATCATAGTCTTCAATTATATGCTTGTCATGTGGTTCTGATTGTGCGTGTGTATATGTATGCATGCTTACAGGGATGTACACACATATTTCTAGTCAACATATGTATAGATCTAGGAACTATTGCTCTATCTATTACTAAAGTTAGGCATCTAGAATTGTTTTTGACGTTCTTTTATAACATAAAACATTTCATGACAGAAGAAATATCAAAATCTCGAGCATATACACTATCTGATGTTATATTTAGTGGTATAATTTGTTTGCGTCACTATATTATACAATACTAATCAATTCAAGTTAACATTTCTTCCATATTCTAGAATTAGAGGCATATGTTCTACCTTTCTCTGTATTATAACAAATAAAAAGTTGCTTAATCTTATAGTTAAATGATAGAATCATACAATTAATAAATCCAATCATGCATGCTTATGTATGATAAATATGGATATAGCTATCAAAATTATGTTATAGGCATCTATTCAATAAAGCTTCAATGTAAATAAAGATAAGGTTAATTTTTCATTTTTTCTATGCTTGTATACATTATACAATAAAACAAGGAAGAAGTTAGCAACTTACCCAAAAAAGGAAGAAGTTAGCATTATACTTCATCACCGTTCATAGATTCATAAAAAAGCCAAAAAAAAAATGTACTTAACAATGTGAAAACCGAAACAGAGAAGGAGAAAGAGGACTGAAAAGTGAAATGAAAATCAAAACATAGGGGAAGAAGAAACCAAAATCAAAATGAAGGAGAAGAAATTGAAAGAGAGATGAAAACAAAATATGGAAGACGAGCTGAAAAAGAAATTCAAATAATAAGAAAAAGAAGAATGAAAATTGAAACAAAAGAAGGATTGTGAAGGAAAACCAAAAAAAAGAATTGAAAAGGTAAACCAAAAGCAGAAAAAACTTAAGAGGGGGGAGTATTGAATTTTAAAAGAATCTTACGGGCGCAAACCTATAAGACTGAAAATTGATACAAAAGAAGGATTGCAAAGGAAAACCAAAACAGAAGAACTTTAAGTGAAAACCAAAGCAGAAGAACTTGGGGGGAGGGGGGGTGAGTATTAATTTTTCTAAAAAAATATATGGGGGAGAGCCTATATAATTTGAAAATATTCGTAGCCTAATACCTACTATAATAGAACTAGAAAAAAAAAAAAAAAAAAACTTTGGGGTGGCTGTCCATCCCTATTTGCATATAGGTATGTACATTTTAAATCTTAGGAGTTGAAATTGTGCCTTAGCATGGAAATCCATGCCATGATCTGTGATTCATGGAATCCAAGAGTCAGATTTTTAACCTGGATTTAAACAGCTAAACAAGTACCTTTAGTTTTCTTATCTCCTACCCATGGCAAAAATATTTAGTGGATGAATACTTGTAAAAAGACAAGGGCTGGAATTGTGAGCTACTGCTAGCACCAGCTTGCACACCTCTTTATTATCTCATATTGCACACCTCTTTATTATGGCTACTGGCATTGTGAGATACTGCAAGCACCATCTTTTTGAGGCTCACAAGAATTTCATCGGTTTGAAGGCATGAAATTTGGTAGATCAATGGAAAATTAGGTGCTAAAAAAAACAGGAGAATTACTGCAACATACAGCTTTTCACAAGCATAACATTGCTAGTTTTTGGACTATTTGGTTGGAGAGAAATGCACGAATCTTTGACGGCAGGAATCAGATGCGGAGTCTTTGTGGGATAGGACGGGATACTTGGCTTCATTTTGGGCATTTGCTTCTCCTCCTTTTAAAGGAGTTCCATTTTTCTTGATTTCTAGGGATTGGGCTGCTGTTTGCCATCTCTAGTGCTAGTAGTTTAGTGTTATTTGTTTTGACTGTTCTGCCTTTTCTTTCTTTGTTTGTTTGAGGACTTCTTGTTCTCTCTCATTCTTCTTTTTTATTAAAATTCTTTGCTGATGCTAAAAAAAAACATTGCTACTAAAGCATCTATAAGCTTCCAAACTGATAAGCCAGCGAATGGGAAGCTCCCAAGTTCGCTGCATTGAAAATGTTATTTCCTCGTAGTTTTAAGATTTGAGATTGACGGTTTTCTTTCCCACCTCTTCAACACCAGCTTCATTGTTGGAAGGCTGCATTTCGTAGATAGCCAATGTTCTCCGCTCCATTATGAGTGTAGTTGAAGAACAAAGTATGCTATGTTGGCAACAAAAGTTGGTAGTCCTCACCATATGTTAATTTCCTGCATTTTGTATTATGCCTATGTTTACCAGTCAACTTAACACAACTCGTGTAAAAAATGCCCAATTTCTTATTTTGCATTCACCTCAGAAACCACTGCATATCAACAATGACGTGGACTTCGTATCATATGATTTTCATTTTGGATTTGTAAAGAACTACAAATAAGAACAAAACTATTTTGGATGGTAGAGTCGTAATAACAGAACTATGGGATTAGATTAACTACTAGATGTTAGTTATTGTTCCATTGATATGAGATCCAATTGTTTGACATTATTTCTATTAGATGTCAAAGCTTCTGCCTCCGACTCCCCCTAGAAGGAGTATGTGTATTCTGCCGGTGGCTGGTGGTGGAGCCTATGATGTTGATTATAGCTTTCTCTGTTTGGTATACGAGAAAATATTTGTTAGAATAGGCAAGAAATTGAAATTGTAGGATTTTTTTTTTCCATTACCAGGATTCCCAACCACTTTGTTTAGACAAGGTTTTTTTGTTTCTTCTACTTTTTGAGAACCAGAGACCATATTTGCATTTTCTTCCTCTGTTTTGGGTGACAATTGTGAAGGGATAGAACGAATTGAGCAGCAGCTTAAAATTTTTTATTTTTTATTTTTTTAACTATATCTTTCTCCGAAAATTCACCCAATGTGTACGTAAAGGAACAACAACATTGAAGGAAAAAAATTGATAACAAAAATCTGCGAAGTTCAATTGTGTAACCACTCTTTATCTATATATGATATGTAGAGGGATGCAATGAAAAAGAAGCACTAATTAGTGGATGTGATAAAATTACAATAAAGCATTACCGGGAATCAGCAAAACCCTTGTCCGTTACAATTGCAACTTTTTATCATAGAGTGCCCTAACTGTTGCTTTTTTCTCTCTCTCCCTTTTTTGGGTATGCCTTCACTATTGCTGTTCCCCTGTGAATATCCACATTTTCTTAATGCATATTTTGTTGATGATTTTTTTATTTTTTTGATAATACATTCTTAATGTAGTTTTGATTTAGCTTCTCATTTATTTCTAATTATGCGTACCACAAATTTGAGGACACTCTCATTTGCTCTAAAACAACTCACTCATCCTTGTGAAAGCAAATATCCTCCAAATAAATCATACAAGCTCCACATCTAGAGGCCTGGATGCCTTAAACTAAATTTTCTTTGATAAAAAAAAACACACAACTGCATATGTGCGCATGCATGCAATGTAGCTATCCAATATCTGGACCTTGGCAGATTAACTTTAGCTTTAGTTAATTAACAATGAAGTATACTAGATGCAACACTTATATAGATGTGATCAGAGGACTGAAAGGAGATCCCCAAGTCACCTATATAATAAATTGAGATGAAGCGTATAATGGCCCTGGTCAAGACCTGATCTTTTTACTTTTTTCGTTTAGATATTACACTTGTTGAGCTTGTTTCCTACTTCATTTGATTGAGTTGTGCACAGGTTGTCATTGGTTTTTTGTCTCTAGAAAACAGAACCAGTGCCTTCTGCTTGCTTGGTGGCGCCCGCGACCAACACCATCTCACCTGCGAAGGGCTGCAACCAGGCCGCGACAAAAACCATCTTGCAGTAGTTTCTCTGCAGAAAAAGGTTGCTCCTGCAACCAAAACCATCATGCAATACTTTGCCCTGCGGAAAGTGGCTTCACCTGCGATAGTGGCCCGGCTACCAGCTTGGTCGCGTCCGCGAGGAATTGACAGCGCCTGTAATTGAGTTATTCGCGTCCATGATGTGTAGTTTGCGCCCATGATGGTCTAGACTATAAATATAACCTGAGTCTCAGAAAAAAATCTGTTTTGATCACTTTCCTTTTCTCTCTCTTCTCTGTTCGCCATTTGAGAGCATCCAAGCATTTCCAACCTTGTTATCATCCAGTTTTAGTACAAATTCACCCCTAGTTCTTAAGGCCAAAAGCTAGAGCACGCTAAGGACAACGTTTTGATCATATTAGATCGCATTTTCATACCACCGAGTTTTGGGTGTTCTTGCATTCTCTCCTAGTTTTTGAGGTAGGGACTTTCTTAATGATGTGCATATTATTTAGCATTATTATGTGCTATTCTTGATAGCTAGAAGTTTGGAGAAAAACTAGGGTTTTGATTATGTATATACTATTGCATAAATTGAGGGAAACTCATAAGTTTTGTTTAATATTCAAA